GTTACATTTCTAGCAATGGGCAGACCTGCCACCCGCTCAGCCATATTACTCACTCGATTCTCCGAAGCGAAAAGATGTGTGTAAAATTCACAAGCAATGTCCGCCTTCCCTTTCTCATCCGTAACCCATTCATCATTAGTGTTATACAGCCCGGCAACGAAATTCCTTTTTCGACGAGCTCTAGTGACATTGTGGAAATAGGAGGTGTTTTTATCACCTTTTTTCAGCCAATGCACTCTCGATTTTTGTTGCCAATACACCTCCTCTGCTTCCCACTGACGGGATAGCTCCGATTCAAGGACCTTTACTTCTTCTCAATCGATCGGATGCTGGTTTTTTATATGATCTATCTCTACTTGGAGAGTCTTGATATTGCGAAGCGCATTGGTAGTCCCAGCCCGACTCCAATCATAGAGGAGGTGCCGCAGCTGCTTAAGACGTTCCCAAAGGCGGAACATCGGGGTCCCAGAGATTTGCTCTTGCCAGACATAACTGACCATAGCCCTAACTTCCGGGTTATCAGCCCACCTAGCATCGAATCTGAACAGGGGGCGACTTTGCCGGACAAAGGGTTTATCCGCTAGAATAAGCGCTCGATGATCCGACCCAAGATCCGTACAATGTTTGACAAGGGTATCTGGAAATTGATCAATCCAGGACTGGGAGCAGAGGGCCCTGTCAAGTCTTTCACGAATGCAAGCAGCACCAATTCGTTTGTTCGTCCAGGTGAAAGTATCCCCCTGGTAGCCAGGGTCATGGAGCCCAAGGTCCATGATAAACTCCCGTAGGCTTGCTGAGGGTGTATTATTCCAGGCATTTCCCCCATCTTTTTCATGCGCGTGCAGGGTGGTACTGAAATCCCCAATAACCACAAAAGGGAGATGGGTGGACGGACAGACATCTCGAAGCAGAATCAATTGAGTTGCTCTAATAGAAGGATTACAACTCATATAAACACTACTACTCTTAATATTTTGGAGTAATCAATAGTTAGCAAGCACCAGAAAAGGAGAAGTGGGAAGAAAGAAGTACAACATGATGAGCACAAAGGAAAAAAGGAGAGGTACACCATATTATACAAGCAAAGATGATTGATTAGTTAAAGTAGAGCCATAATTAAGTTGATGATGAAGAATGCGATTCATATGGTTTGGTTAAAGAGCGACAGCTTGCTTGTAAGCATGTTCTTTATCGAGCAGCACCAAGAATCATACATATATACCACTAGTTTGTAGACTTGCCAATTATATATGTGTTTCCCCAAATCACTCATAGGTTAGCCTTGGAGATTAATGTGGCCAGTTCTCAAGCCTCGACAAAAGGTTTGATTCATCGTCAGGTGTCGTGGATCAAACCTCATGAATGATGGGTGAAAGTTGAATGTAGATGGAAGTAAACGTTTGGATTCACCATTGATCTACGAGATTGGTCGTGTTCTCGATCGGGGATTTGTCCGGTGTTTGAATTGTAGTATTCTACAATCATATTAAGTTAGGGCATTCGTCTCCAATCATATCAAATGTTTTTTTCTTGCTCGTTTTATTTCTTACAGAGTAATACTGAAAGAAAGAAAGAAAAAGAGTAGGGAAGAGGAGAGAGCAAAGGAGGAAGATGCCACATGAATATTTTAACGTGCTTCACCTAGTGCAATAGTTACATCCACGTCCCAAAAAAGTAAACACTTTCCTAGGAGGCTATTGTGCTCGCCGATAGTATATATGGATGGGGATTAAGTATATTTAGTTAGTAAGAATATTTGGATTTTGGCATTATTATTTGTATGTTTGGGATCTATTGTAAGAAGATTACATTTAGTAATTCTTAATTAAAATTATCTTTCATTTAGTTCATTAATTTAAAATATTATAATCAAGATCACAATCTAATATGAACAAACCAAACTTTCTCATCAAAATCACGTAAAACAAGTCCTTATTACATGGAAGTATTTGGGCCCCTAAAAAATAGAATTACGAGCAAAGATTATTGTTGTAGAACATGAATTAGAGGCACTTAGTATGCCTCTAAAAATATGAAATAGCTATATAAATGTGAAATTAGCGACAAAAATTACTCATAAGCATAACACAGTTTGTTCCTATATTATCCTATAGATTTGATTAAAGTCTAATTATACAATTGTCCCCAAAACAAACTATGGGAACAGAAACGTCTGACACAAAATGTAACATTAGTGGAAAAACATTTGTGCTATTCAAGGGAGAAAAAAGATAAATGCATAGTCATTAAAAAATTAAATTAGTAAGAAAACTACATGTCGCAAACTCGTAAATTAGCCTCATGTAATGTTTGCATTTAACATATATCGCTAAAGAGCTTTAGTGGCAGCAATATTACCAGCACATATTTATCTTTTGTTATAGGACTATTGCGGCACATAAATAATTTATGTGGGCAAATACATGTAGCAGCCAAATGTGATTTTTCTTGAAGTCTGTGTAAATCGCTCATACTGGAATAATCAAGTACCCAGGTACCCGTACCTAGATCCATTAATCATGATTATCATTAATAATCCAACGACCATACGTGACAAAGGCCACATAATCATCCCTCTTAGGGTGGAGGAATCTAGCTAATTATTCATCAGGTGGGATGGAAACATAGCCTTTTATTTACTTTTGCTCAATAGTTTTTAACTAATTATCTATGTATAAGATAGTGGGGATATGTGAAGGGAAACCCTTTTGGTGGTGTGTTTACTTAATCCATTCAGGACACCAGTTCCTAATTCTTAATGACCTTCATTCCTATATACAATAGTCGGATTGCATCACGTTTTCATTTCAAAAGTACTTAATTTTGACCAATAAGCTAGACTGCGTACACATATAGTCATAGATGTGACAATTGAGATTACTAAAAATTGGGCACGAACATAACAACATTAATGCACCAAATCCCATTTTCAGCAATGAAATGATGGCTTTACACTACAACAAAAACAAAAAGGTCCTATGCTAGGGGTTATGTAGCAGGGGTTCAATAAACCCTTGGAAATTTTTTTGAAACTCATCGTAGCAAGTGTTTATTCCAGGGGTTTAGAAACCCTTGCCAATGCACAACTCTGTTTCGTTGCCCAGGCTTGTTTTGGCTGCTTCTTTGTTTATGATGTAGACTGCTTCTTTGGTAAATTTACTTTTTTTCCTATTTTATAAAATGTTGTTTTTATATTTTGTTAAATTAATAGTTCGTTTTCCTCAGTAAACGAATTCAAAATACATTTTCCAGGATCTCTCCGAGCTGCGATTCTCCGCGCACCGCCGGATCTCCCCGACATATCGTTCTCTTCGCGCGGCGCCAGATCTCTCCGACCTTTCTTCACTCCGTCCGCACGACGCCAGATCTCTCCGACCACCTCTCGTTCAATCCGCGCGGCGCCAGATCTCTCCGGCCTCTCGTTCTCTCCGTGCGGCGGACGATCGATCTCTCCGACCTCTCGTTCTCTCCTCCCGGCGCCCGATCTCTCCGACCTCTCTTCACTCCTCGCGACGACAGATCTCTCCGGCCTCTCGTTCACTCCGTGCGGCGGTCAATCTCTCCGGCCTCTCTTTCTCTCCTCCCGGCGCCCGATCTATCTCTCGTTCACTCCGTGCGGCGCGATTATTTGATCGCTATCTTATTCTGGCTACCAGGTAATGTATCTCTCGCACTTTTCATGAATATAGATAGGTTTTAGGTTTCATTTTTGTTGTCGCATTCAATGGCCCTGTGTTTTAAGTTTGTGGTTGTACTCTACTCTGTACTCGCTTACTCTGAAAATGGTCGCATACTTAAATGGTGTATTTGTTCAGTTTTTTTAAGTTTGTCAAGAAACATATAGGGGCTACTGTAATTAAGATTAAACTACTTTGGAAATATTATAAGAATCGAACAGGAGGAGGGAGAGAGAGTGTGTCAACTTGTTGCTGAATCCGCTAAGAATATAGGGCTAACTGAATCGGCTAAGTGAAATTATCATTGTTCAAGCAAATGCCAATTGAATAAACTAATGTTGTGTCAACTTGGTGCATTGTATATTAACATTGTTAAACAATAGGATACACAATGTTCAGAGTGTCTAAAGGGTTGAAATGGGATGGGGAGGCAAAAACTGAAGGGTGTAGGAAAAAACATGGGAATTATTACAAAGTAGCATCTTCTGGTCCCACGACCTTCCTTGCCCTGCAGCGTTGAGTAGCACTCTTTGAAGTTGCTTTGGCTCTTTGGATTCTGACGTTTATGAGAATTATTACAGATGTCTTAGTAATTTTCTTTTGAATTGTGAATCTGGTCATTCAACAATGTGACTGTAGATATTTTTATGCTGTTTATTCTGGATAGTAAGCCCTTCAGTTTCCGATCATATAGTCGTTGTTGAAGGAGATGTTTGATTTTTCATCAGTACTCTTTAACCAATGAATCTGCCATTGTAGATCCATAAATGAAAAAGGAAGCTATGGCAATAGGAGTGCATCCCCCCGTTGATTGACTACTAGCATAGAGCAGCTTCATTTTCATAATGTAGTATTTATACCCTTATACTAGTCCTACTGGTACTGCTCTGCTTCCCTTTCCCTCCCTGGCTCCCATTCAATCTAACAACAAAGAACGCCCTTCTTCATTTCCTACTTCTTCACATTTCAATCTAACAACAAAGTATATTTTTGTGGTTAGCGTGTTGTAGTTCCTTGTGGTGAAGAGTCATGCTTGCTTTCATCCTTTCTTGGGACAATTGCGAAAAACAACATCTTGACTCCACTGTCGATTGAGAATTGGAAAAGCAAGGACTTCAAACCATACTAAGCCTTACCAAGGTAAAACTAATGATGTTGGGAAAACAGTGGAAAGTATTAGGGAAGAGGGACTTCCAGAAGGTGTTACAGATGCAATCAGTGGTACACCTTGGTAGCTAGCTTGTTTGCCGAGGAAACAAGGTAAACCCTCCTTTTAACTTGTTGTTTCAGTGGTACACCTTAGAAGAAGAATGTTTTTCACACAGGAAGGAGGAGCATTGCAATGATGAAAAAGCGGTTGGTAAAGCTTAATTGGTTTCTTTTTAGCTTTATGTACATTCTACATATGTTTTCCCATTCTTACAAATAATATAATCAGATTTCCATATTGTTCTAATCTAAATTCTAATATGTTACATGGTTGCAGAAGGAAAAATTAGGCAGAACTCCTACTAGGCTTGAAGTTTTTGAAGCTGACCATAAGAGAAAGGATGGGACATACATCAATGATCATGTTAAAGATTTCATGGTAATTCCTGTGGTAGCTCCTATTCAGTTGCTTTAAGTTTGCAGAAAAGACATAATCCCCTGGTGATGGGTGACAGTATATGGTAGTTAATGAAATTATGAAAATATGCATTGGCATGTGTCAGAGAAGGGTTCTGCTCTCTTTTGTCATAAGGGTTTCAAGAATTCAAACTACCAGATGTGAAATGGGAGAGATAGTTTGCTGTAGTAGGGCTGCTGGTTGTGTTTGGTATTTATATGACATGTGATTTTGCTGCAAGATAAAGCAAATGAAATGGAGGGACCTAGAGAGGAGGTTTTCCAGAAGCTAGCGGGTCCAGAGCATCCTGGGAGGCTTCGATGCTTGGGGTTAGCGCCAAGTCAGAGCGCTCTCATATGAAGATGCTGAAAATGGAGGCCATGGAGAGGTTCATCAGTAAGAAATTTCCTGGGCAAAATTGGATGGAAGATGCTGGAAACAATCCGGTAATGTCTCTCCTCCCTTCTTTTCTTTGAAATTGCACCAGTAAGAGTATGAAATTGGGAATGAATAATAATTGATGTTGAGTTGAAGACATAGGGTTGTTTGTAGAGGGAAGTTTTTAGAATACTTTAGCATATTCGTGGAATGATCGATCGATGTTTTTGGTAGTTTATACAACAATAGCATGTGTCACAGTTCAGAAGTTGTTCCATTTTACTTCGCTTTGCAAACTTCTCTTTGTTGATTTTCTTCCACTCGTGTCTCTCTTTGTCTCTCCACTCCTCTCTTTGTTTTATCCTTTTTGTTGTAGTAAGTAAATATATGGCTAGACCTGGACCTGCTCCCTCCATTAGAGAACAGAGAGGCAAAAATGGCTAAGACACAGGCCACATGAGTGCTTTGTTATAAAAATGAAATTCTTTCTTTTTCACTTTGAGATTAAATATTGTTCTTGTTTTGTACACTCTGTAAATGTTGACAATTCTTTCCTTTTTGTCAGGGTGCTAGTACTGCACTGTCTTTGGGTTCTCGAGCTTCTTGATGTCGTGGCGCTCTCATATGAACTGTTGGATTTTAGTTTATCGTGTACTAGGTTCTTTTGAATTTAACGATGTTTGGCCATTTGAGCAATAGTATAGATCATGAATCATGTTACAAATTATGAATATTGATGGGTATCGTTGTATGCTATGAATTTGGTTACTATTGAATATTAGGTTCTGAGTTTGTTTAAAATGATCAGAGTATTTGCAACCAAATTATAATCACCAGATTTTGAATTTGCATCTTTAGCGACAGTTTTGAATTTGTCTCTTTAGCGACCATTTTGTTGTCGTTGCAATTTTTTTTTATATTAGCCACGAATGAAGCAGGGGTTTAAACCCCTGCAATAAGTAAAATCAACAACAACTATGTTGTTTGGTAGCAAGAGTTTTAGCCCTTGCTAGTTTTTGCAACAAACTTAGCAAGGGTTTGAACCCATAGTACGATCATATACTGGATGGATTTTAAGTTGTCTTGTAGCAGGGGTTTTAACCCTTGGTATATGTAGCAGGGGTTCCAACCCCTGCAAAAAACCCCAGGATGGTACTTTCACCGTGGGTTACTAAAAACCCTTGCTATCCATAGCAGGGGCAGCATTGGCGAGGGTTGGTGCAGGGGTTGGGAAAACCCTCACTACAATTTATATCAGGGGTTAAAACCCTTGCTATAGGCCAAGAAAACCCTTGGTATAGGCTCTTTTTTTTGTAGTGTTACCTAACTGTTATTGCACCTCGGCGCGCCTCAACAGAAGTGGAGCTAGCGCACTTGGGATTTCCATCATGGTTTGATACATTATTGAGTATGGAGATGCGGAATCCGATTAATCCCATGATAGTTACGGCAATTCCCAGGCCATGCACGTTCCACCTCATCGCGGCAAACCCCTCCACCGTAAAGTCATAACGACCAGAAAAATTTGTTTTCCCAGCTTCGTTTTATGTAGAGATGGTAGCAGCGGTGATGCCAATTGCTAGCAACTATGGTGGAGGGAGTGATAATGGTACGTAGAGAGTGTAGTGGTGACTATTTTCTTCGTTGGGGAAAGATAATGTTAGAAAATGGTTATCCAAATTCGGTTGAGTAGTGGACTAGATTCTTTTCGCGGTACTACTTTTTTGTGCACAAAAGATTATAGCTTGTTGCATCAAAGATTGAATAACCACTCCCTTGTTGTTCGAGGATTTTGGGAGAAATCGGATCTCTCTGAATCACACTCTCTCTCATATTTCTGTTCTTCAAATTGGTGTGTCTAGAGGGTCTGAGGGGTCAGCTATGTATAAGAGGTGAAAGTCTCAAAATATTCCTATTTTGTGGGGAATAAGTCACCCTTAATTAGGAGATAAACATATCCTTATATAAAACGCGTTTGGTGATATAATGACTCAGATTATCGCTCAAATATTCATTTTTCAATTAATTATCCTCATTTACATTTCTGTTAAGGATATGAAATAATTAAGTTCGGAATTTTTTCAACAAATATTAGTCTCAAGTCGAACTACCCACCCACCCACTCGCTCTACCAAACGACGGCGCACGCGTGTGTGTGGTGGTCCTCCCACCAATGCGGTATTTCTCCACTTGAGAGTCATAGCTTTCAAAGCTATTCACATTTACAACAATCCTTCACTTGAATAGTTTTGAAGCTATCTATGAGAATCAACAGTTATTTAAAGATCAGACATAAACTAAGATATCTGTATCGCTACAATTTTAACCATTGCATAGTGATTACACTTCGGATTTCATAAGAGTGACTCGTAGTCTTGAACTTTATCTCGGACAATGTAGCAAAACAAATCTTTTCATTGAGTGTTATTCTTTTATAGCCCATGCGTTTATTGGCCTGCACGTTTTCCCGGTTCTAGCCCAGCATTCATTCACAAATATTGTAATGAAATTGAGACCGCTCGCCCTCAGAAGTTAATTCGTGTGTAGTGAACGGTCTTGCAATTTAGTGCCTCCAAAGTTCCATAAGGAGCGGCCCTCTCTCAAATTCACATATGTGAGTCTATCAGAAGTACCACAAATTAATGTACTTCACTCAACATGGAGTATAAACCTCATTAAGAGTTACTATTAACTCAACCTCTACCACTTTGGGATTAATGCTTCACTATGCATTAACTTTCTCATATTACTCATGACTTGTTAATACCCATTGGACCCATTTCTTGGGATCTCTATTCTAATGGGCTGGGTTACCATCACTTGTAATCCATAGTTAGATAGGCATAAGTCCCATAACCATGGCAATATTTGAACTTTCTCTCTAATAATCATTTCGTCAAAGGATTGGTTAGATTCTCTTTTGATCTTACATGATCCACCCTCACCGATCATATTGTTAGGTGTTCTCTTACTATACTGTTCTTACACCGAATTTGTCGTCTATTTCCGTTGTAGAACTTGTTCTCAACTTTAGCAATATCTGCGGTTAGGGGTGAACAAACACACCCGAAAACTGACACACCCATCAGACCCGACCCAACTCACCCGTATTAATCGCTAGAACGAGGGTTTTGGGTTGGGTGAGGTTTTTCTTTTGTACAACCCGCCTCTTTTGGGTTGGGTTTGGATTTTGGATTACACAACCCGTAGTTACCGACCCAACCCGTGTTCCAACAATTGGTATGAGTTTGCATCCAAAAAATATTTATGACGTATATAGTCATACTTACGAGAAAATTAAGATATTTCGCCATGTTTTTCTCTCATGGTCTCCTTAATCTAATGCATTCTTCGACTTAAAATTTAGACGTAAATTTAATATAGCTATGATTCACGTAATCCTTATATTGAGTACAATTTTAATAAAATAAAATATTATGGATGCATTCGTTTATAACCTTTTTAGCCTATTTCAAGAAATGTCATGACAAAAACTAGACATATGTTGAAGTAAATCACATTTTATTGAAATTCAAACAACATTTGTGAATTTTGATACATTTCACCTCAGTTTATTTGTTTGAAATTTTAGTTAGTTATAAAATATTTTTATGTCGTGGAATAATTACATATTGTGTGTTGGATTGGGTTGGGTTTTTATTTTAATATATCATCACCGACCCAACCCAATTAGAAACAAACCGTAGGGTTTAAATTTTTTTGGGTGGGTTTGAGTTTAATAATTTCCAAACCGTAGTGCATGGGTCGGGTGATTAAAATGGCTAAACTCGGACCACCCGACCCATGTACACCCCTAGCTGCGGTGATATCACAATTCACAATGGATAAATACCGGAGGAACCGATCTTTCCCATATGGGAATCTCTATCAATAATGCTCTCAACCAACTTGCTCCTTTACTAGTGTTGCTAAGCTATCATCTTTGATTCCATAGTTGATTGAGCTATGATTGATTGCTTCTTAGACTTCCAAGACACAACTCCTCGAGCAATGTTAAAAACATACATTGCCTTAGAGTCTTCTGATAGGATATTCCAATCCACATTACTATACCCTTCTAATACAACAAAAAACTTTGAATAATGTACACTAATATTTGTTGTTCTCTTGAGGTATCTCATGACCCTCTCTTGAGGATTATTATGGGACAATCCAAGTACCACATCGGATATACTAGGGAAGGAACCCTTGTATATAAGTGTCCACCAAGCTCATTAGTACGAGGCCTTTAGGGGAGGACACCCAAGAGTAAAACTGTTCGGGCTTGGCCCAAAGCGGACAATATCGTACTAATTGAGCACCCCGGTTTGACATTGTACGGTAGACTTTTCGACTCAAGAAATTACATTATATAATTACTAGATTTTTACCCGTCCGTTGGACGACGCATTCGTATTGGTGTTTTACTTTTCGTTCTATTGTTTTTTTTATGATTTATGTAAGTTTAACTATTATAGATTGAATTATTAATCTCATTTACTTGATTTTAGGTATTGTTGTACACTTTTATATCTTTTGTTTATTTATGAAATTTTGATTTTATTAAATGACCTCTCGGTGGACCTTTCTTTATTTATTTGTAAGTTGTATTGAACCCACAATTTAGAATATAAAATAAGATATCATTAATCTTTTAGCACATAATAGTGACAAAGAAGTTTTAAAAAATTACATAAGCAACTATGTTTCAATTAAAAAAAAAAAATAAACAAAGAGCTTTTTATTTCTTCTCCATTCTCGTATGTTGCTATATGATAATACATAATATCGCGCTCTAAATCCCACGAATATCGTACACTATTAGTTACTTGTGAAATTTTGGAACAATGAGGAAACACATTAGCATCCACATCATCAATCTTCTACTTATTCATTTAATTTATCTTCAAAATGTTCTAGCAAAACCAACCAAAAATAGAACTATTAGTTGTCACTAATTTATTAAAATGATATTTTTTCAGCAAACTAAATTGCATATAAACACAATTTATATTTGTAGAGAGCTACATACCCCCTTAAAAAAACAATGGTGTGTTTTTTTACCTAATAACAACATAGACGGATTGTAAAAGCTGCATACTTCAATAAAACTCAACGCATTGTATCTTGTAAAATCTTCATTCATGAACACGATTGATGCATCAATCCAAATAGTTGTTGTCAAGAAAACGATTAGGCCAAAATCGATTTTTAGTTAGGGATTCAATTAGGAAAAATTTCACGCTAAGTAAACAAACAAATGTCATTGCAAACGTGTAGAAATTGAAAGAACGTCGACATAGACAACTTAGATACTACCATCACCATTTTCTTTCTTTTTCGCACCTTTATAAAACCTCACATGTGTTCCCTTCTACTTATAACCCCCTGCTACGTTTTACTTACTGACCAGATCATAATCATATAGCTAGTAGCATGTCACTCATGAACATAATATATAACACTCACAAGCTCTGCTTTCCATTTTATCATCCACGGAATTGGGATGCAATAGGCAAATAAAATGATCAATTATTCAACCAAAGGAGAGATACTGTAAGTCCAAGCAATAAATCATTCCAATTGTCTATTACATGTTTACATAAAAGTATACAACATAGAGAACCATAAAACAACTACCTGAAAAACCAAGAGAAATACATTCATTTATTTGAGCAAGGAAATTTACCATCCAGCCGTTGTAATAAAAAGAAATTAAGAAACAAATGGAAAAAAGAGTTTAATATGGTCAGTCAACCACAAACAACCACATATCTCTAGGAAAAAGAGACCAGTTGTCAACTACAAATTAAGGGTGAAAAGGGAGCAATGAGCAATCATCGACTTCATTCAATTCATCTTCGCAATGATAGGATGAACTTTTTTAGTCAATAGTCAAACATATGTTATAGATGCTCAATTGTATGTCATCTAATCATTGTCTCATGTAACTCCACCTTCATATTTTCTTACAAAGAGTAAAAACTCAATATGCCTTACTATTTCCTTTCCTGTATCTGTTTGAAAAAAAGTGCGAGAAAAGAAATGCTAGAAATCTTAGGATTTTGAGGTAATTATAATTGCCTTATTAAACTAATCATTATTATAAATTTTTCATTTTAACCCAATACCTTGATTTAGATTCTTGTCACTATAAAAGTTTTTTGTTTAGATATCTCAACTAACACACTGATATTTATTTATTGTCTCAATCCTAAATTTTGATTTGTCAAAAATATATTCAACGATTAAATGAAAATTTCAATCCTTATTTGATCAATGCCTAGGTCAGTGATTGATGAAACGTGATGTTTATCGTATATTCTCAACAAAGATTACTTTAACATTCACACGTGTCATTTTTTAAGGTATATTGTGTCTCGTCTTAAGGTATGAAGTCAAAGTTCGTCAAAACTCATACTTAAGTCATTTTGAAAACTTTGATGTATAATCCTCGACAATAACTCTAAATCCGAAAAGAAAATTTATTAGCATATTATTATGACCACAATTGAGCATGCTCAACCAAATAATCTAAATCAAATATTTTAATGTGAACTTAAACCAAACTTATAAATATTGCACATGTGATTACTCTTCCTTTGAGAAATTTCAGGTAGAACATGAATATATGTTTTTACTTAATCGGGATAAATAGAAATGTTTTTAAGAAATAATTATTATTCTTCGATCAAGTTATAATCTGACAATTATTTTATTACATGAAATAATTATTTATATAACAACTATTTTAACTGGTAGACATATATTATAAAGAAGAGAAATTTTAATATATAAATTCATATATTTTATTTTTCAAAGTCGATTGATTGTCAAACGCTTGGTTTGTCTCTTTGCGTCGTTATATTTTATTTAATAGACAAAGATATCATTATTTATGTGTGTACTTCTTCAAATTTTTCACCAAAATGTAACTTATTATTAAGTTTTGGTTAAAATGAGTAGATAACTCACTTGATAAGATTTAATCATATATTTTTCTAAACAAACCCGATATATGTCATTCTTTTTTTCCATCTTTATATTTTGTTTCATTGATAAAAATATTATTATTTAGGCTTGTTTTTATTTACATTATCAATGTAACTTATTATTAATGTTGAGTAAAAGTGAACATAAATACTAAAAAAGAGAGAGATTGCTTCATAAATATATCAATAATAAAAAAAATTGGTTGTAAAAAAAATGTCTACCTAGGCAACTTGTTATTTCTCCAAGTGCATATGTGACAAAAAAAATTATTTTTGAATTGTCATAATATATAATATAGATAGATCTAGATAGATGATACAGCTGAAGTACAGGGACATGGAGGTCGATACCCGTCAAAATTAATATGGTGGCATATGATGTAATTCTATCGTCACTAGTAGGTTTAACTTCTGAGGTCAAGGGATCACGTTTTGGGTAGTATAGTACGCAAGCCTTCTTCTCCATAACTATTTTCACAAACTCTTCTCCTTAATTACTTTCTTTGAATATGTTCTAAATGGTGCGTCTACCTTTTAGTCTCCTATGTTCATTTTTCTAAGGCCTAATAATAACAAACGATAAATGGTTTATGTTTGGTGCAAATAAAATTTGTAGGTATGCAAATAGAGAACTTAGAGATTGCATTATGCATTTTAGGTTGCTAATTTGAGGGTGGGATGAGATTGTTTAAAGTGTAAATTTTTAGACGTACTAAAAAAGTTGCGGTTGTATCTACAGAGGGTTTTTGTCTTAGTCGTTACATACGCGATACATTTTGCAATCTCGTGTGTTTAGTAAGGGTATGAAGTGTCACTGTGGCGGATCCAGAAATTCTACATAGGGGTGTCCTCTTCAAAAATTAAATTAAATTAAATAATTATTAAATATGAAAATATCTGACTAATAAAAGTTACATTAAAACTTCAGACATGTTTCGTAATATGGTAAAATACATTCGCTGTCTATACTGCTCAACAATGATCTTTCGACATATCCTACTAGAAAATGGTATCCAGTAATTGGGTTTAATCGTTAGGTTTTAAAAATAATTTGGGATAAGAATAACATTTTACTATTATATTTGGATCTAAAACACAATAACAAATGAGTTGTAGTGTAATTGAAAATATGTTTACTAATAGTGGCAGTGTCTCAAGTTTAAATCACATAAACTACTACTAAAATATTATTTGTACTAATACGCAAACTCCTATGGGAGGTTGGATAATCGTTTTTCCAAATTTTAAGGGTGTCCCACTACCACTTAAACATTTTTTCCCCTCATATACAAACTACTATCGGAGGTTGAATAATCGTGTTTCCAAATTTTAGGGGTGTCCCGGGACACCCCTAGACATGCATGTATCCGGCCCTGTGTCAGTCACCCTTTAGTTAATATATACAATTAAAGAAGTATATGTACTTCAATTTGCTGTTAAAAATGTGTATTAATTCAATTAAGCAAGCAATTAATGGGTAATATAATGAAAGTTTCTGGCACAAATATACACACACGAGTTTTCTTTTCTGAAAAAAAAAAAGAAGTTGATGATGATGAAGAAAGGACAAAGGTGGGAGGTGGAATTAGGCAAGTGGGAACTCACCAACACCATATGAGAAAAGCCAAAGAATATGGGTAATTAAGTTGACTTGTACTTTATGTTTCGTTCTTTATTATGAATGAAGTCTCTCCCATCATTTCTCTCTGCATTCTATTACTTCCTTTCATGTTCTAGATATTTAATTATTTATTCACCCCCAGTGAGGCTGCTTTTCCCAAGCCATCCATGTATATATAGCCACACCTTCTCATCCCATCCCATTAATTACTCTCATCACTAACCCTAAAAGTAGAACAAAACCCTTCGCCCAGTGAGTCTTCTTATAACATATATCAAGATGAAGATGATGAAGAGCTTAGGACTACTCCTTACTTTATTCCTACTCGGCTTTGTAGCTCTCTCCTTGCTCAAATCTTGTGTTGCAGTCCCTACAACCAGTGAGTAACTAATTAATTACATACTTAATCTTTTGCGAGTTTCTTGCTTAATCATGCATGTGTATATGCAGGAAGCCTGATGATGAGCCCAGGGAACCCTACTTCTCCATATGTACTTCAACATGGCTTCCTGTCTCAGGTTTGATATTGCTGATCGAATCGATCTACACATGCACAACATCCACATCAACTGATTAGTATGGCGATATTAAAAATGTAATTCTTTCAATTTCCAGGGTGCAACAATGATGAAGTTGAGCAATACTGAAGATGATGAGGATGTAATTGAAGGAAGGATGGTCGTGGAGAGCTTGGATTATCATGGAACAGGAGCCAACACCCACCATGACCCTAAACCCCCAGGCAGCGCCAGACCTTAATTAATTAGCTAAAAACTCTTGTAATATGTGAGGGTGGTGTGTGTTTTGCTCATAAGTTTTCTGTTGTGTTTGTTTCTCTGTCGGTTTCCTTATGCATCTTAAGTAAGTAAGTAATGGTGGAATGAATGAGTGGCTGCGTGTAATATTGATTAGTGGGACGTACGGTTATTAATTGTTTGTCTATGGGGAGACTCATGATCATGTGGTTGTATATATAGTCTCTCAGGACATGAGTGTAAGATCAGTGATCTAATGGTTTTTATTTTATCAGTAAGATGATCTGTAGCAATTATTTACAGAGGCTGGGGGTTGTCCACTTGTCCTAATCAGGAGTAATAGCTATCGGCAGGTACCATCAGTTGCATGATTAATAACAATCTCCTTCTTCTAACATAACTAACCCGTAAATATATACTCATCAATACACATATCAGAATCAGAGAGGAAGAGATGGGATACTGTGAGATTGGTATATTTTTTTTATGAGGGAGATATGGGTTTACTGTTTTGTGGTTAGGTACTAGTTAAAGGACTCGAACCTGAAATCTCCAGATTCAAGAGTGGTATTACCACTAGATCAATTTCTTATTCATAATTTTTCTTATAATGATTATATATATGTTTGTTTTTAGTTAAGTGCTAATGAAAAGATTTGAACCTCAGCCAGTGGTATATTACGATATCGGTAACTATTGATTAATGTAATGGATGTAAATGGTCAGGGTTTGTTGCTTATGAAACTCTCTCCCAAGGAAGGGTTCCGGTAAGGCCGTGCACAATGTGCACCTTATTGTGCATCCACATCATCATTTATGGAAGGTTTCTAAATTTTTCCCTATAAATTTTAACGGGTTATTTCTCTTTCGTTTTAAACCGTAATTTATTTTTTTTGCACAAATAAATCAGATTATCCGCTTTAATATATTTTGAGGAAAAAAAAAGAGACATTTATTACCTGTCTATACCATGGTGGTAATGCTAGGTACTACATAAGATCATCCCACATGGTATGAAAGTGTATCATGGTGGTATGGACATAGAATGGTTGAATACATGATAGTAGGAAATATACAAACTGTCATTTCCCACATTCATCATTGTTTACCATCGGCTAGTTACCTCCCCTATACGAGGGTATGAAGTGGTATATTTTGTTCTTGTATTGTCTTTTTCGAAAATTTGTAGACCCAATAGATCACGGTGAACTCACTCATGTAGTGAAAAAATTTCAAATTTCGAGTTAAAAAACTAAAGTGGTAATGAGTGGTATGAAAAAAAAATTCTCAACCTAGGGACTGGGGTTTATCCATTAGTGGTTAGGGTATAGTATCATGCCAAAAACTCCGGTTAATTCATTGTCTAAATAGCAAAACTCAAACGGGCGTACGGTAGACTACCTTGTTGTATAAGGTGTTGATGTTAAAGGAAATGGGTATTGACTGCTTAGGGTATTAGGTTGTTGATGGTATAGAGTATATGGTATATGGGTAGGTTATAAGGTGGTGATGGTTTAGAGCATATGGTATTGATTGGTTAAAGGGTGAGGGTAGGTGTTGTTTTATTTTTTCTCGATTTTATATTTTCTTTATATCTGCTTATAAATGCTGATCATGCCTTATTACTAAAAAAACTTAGACATAATTATTGTAGCGTGACACATTTATCGGTACGAGATAAAATGATTTGGTGTGTGCAAGGTAGGTTCCTATTATCTATTTTGCCTTGTTGGTTATCATTGTTGGTGATCCCGGCCATTAGCGATTCGCCACATATGGAATGAAAATTAGTTAGAGTTATTAAGTTCATCTTTCTTCATTTATTGTTTGATTTGAACCTGCATGTTTTTGCTCCGAAGGATTTTGTAGTGGCGTGGTAAAGACAATCCGTCCAATTTAACTCTTCATTAATTCCCCCTTTTCCACTCTCTCACTCCCCCACGAAGAAGAAACAATCCACTATGATATATTTACCGTTCATTTTAACCCTTCACTTAATAAGAAAGCGAAATTTCACATGATGATTATAAATGTCATGTAGCTTAATTGGTTAATTGTCCTTTAGTTTTCGAGTTAATAAAGTAGAGGTTTGTGGTTTGATACTTAGCGACTATCAATTTTTAATTTATGGTTTGAACAGAAAGTTAGAATTTCAATTTTGAAGTACATATGTACTTTAGTTGGGCAAGAAAAGTTAATAGACAATAAAATAGAAAAAGAGAATAGTTATCTATGTGGCATTGCTAGAAGAATTCCTAATTTAGCAATCTTGCTAGTTTAGAAAGAACTCCTCCATCCCTAAACCATTGCTAAGTTTTTGTCATCTAAGGTCCACCTCATCTTTAGAAATTGCTAAAAGTTAGGGATGGAGATGGTGACAATCAATAAGCAATTTCTAAAGTGGGCCCTTATCGCCCTTAAGGTTTAGGGTTCAGGGTTTAGGGTTACAATAACATATACCAAATCAGTAGATTAATTTTGCTAAACGAAAAAGTTAGTTAATCTACAAAGCCCGTCTAAAAGCACATCCCCATCTTCCGCCGTCAATTCCTAAACTTTTCCTTTAATCCGATGGTGAAAGAGCTTCAATCCTTGGCGCAGCGTGTCATCCAATCAGATTTCGCCATTTTCAGAAAGTCGCATTTGCCCATAACCATAGAAGGCAGTAGTCTTCTTATAAAATAAAGAGACACATAAATAAAACGACACCGCATAAACCAGCAGACTTCTTATAAACCAATTAGACACATCAATAAAACGACACCGCAGAAGGCAGCATTCTTCTTATAAACAAACGACGCCGCTTCAAGCTGACAGTGGCAGTCTTCACATAATCCTAATCCGAATAGGATAAGGACTTCCATCTTCACTTCAAGTTTTCAACACTGATCAAATAGTTGCAGCCCTTTTACACACGCATTCCGAAGAACTCAAGTGTCCAAAACTCTGGTCCTTAGGTTGCTACTTCTGGTAACATGCCTCTTCTGCAAAATTGATAACGACGAGGAATGTCGTACAAAAATATTGGTTGCAACTGCATTGTGTAGACACGAACGATTATACTTTATTCTTACCCTAGGTTGCTCGTAATCGTCGTCATCATCATTTTCATCATCGGATGGCCCAGACTCAGTACACGTTCTTGCATTATGATTGGTAGAACCGCACTTACTGCATTGCTTTTGCCTTCCCTAAACCATTGCTAAGTTTTTGCCATCTAAGCTCCACCTCATCTTTAGCAATTGCTAAAAGTTGGGGATGGAGCCATTAACAAGCATGAAATAGCCTAACTATTTCATTTGTGGCCCCTACCTCCATGTATACACCTTTTACAATTTCATCTCTTCACTTCCATTTTGTCTACATTCATGAAATCTACTTTCAATTTCATATGGTGGGCCCTATTCACATTTATAATACAACAAATAATTTGTATACTCTCTAACCAATTGAAGTGGGTCCACTTTGCCTCTTCCATATTGAATTTCATCTAATGAAATCTTCCATATATGGTATTGATTGGTTAGGGTATAAGGTGTTATTGTTGTAGAGTATATGGTATTGATTGGTTCGGGTATTAGGGTTTGGTTTAAGGTTTAGGGTTTATGGTTACAATAACATATACCAAATCAGTAGATTAATTTTGCTAAACGAAAAAGTTAGTTAACCAACAAAGCCAATCTAAAAGCACATCCCCATCTCCCGCCGTCAATTCCTAAAATTTTCCTTTAATCCGATGGTGAAAGAGCTTCAATCTTTGCCGCGGCGTGTCACCCAATCAGATTTCGCCACTATAATCCATCGGTTTGGGTTGCCTGCCACTATAACTGCTAATCAAGGTACTGTGTTCACTGGAGGAGAGGTGATGAAATTTGCCAAGGAACATGGAATCAAAATCATACATTCCACCCCTTACTATGCTCAGGCTAATGGACAAGATGAGGCATCCAACAAAGTGGTGAAAGGAATCTTGTCTAAAATGATAGAAGACAATCCGAGAAAATGGCATGAGCACTTGTCAGAAGCTTTGTGGGCTTATCGCATGTTGCCTCGTAGTAGTACGAAGGTGACGCCCTTTGTCTTAACATACGGTCATGAGGCCTTCTTACCAGTCGAGGTAACTGTCAAGTCGTTGAGATACATGCGTCAACATGAACTCACTCCTTCAGAGTATTAATAGTCTATGATGCTAGAGTTGTGTGATCTTGATGAAGTGCAACTAAAAGCTCTTGATAACATTAGAGTTCAAAAAGACAAAGTTGCACGAGCTTACCACAAGAGGGTTAAGCACAAGTCATTCGAAGAGGGGGAGCTAGTGTGGAAGCTACATTTGCCCATTGGGGACAAGGATCCCAAGTTTGGCAAGTGGTCTCCAAATTGGCGTGGCCCTTTCATTGTCCATGCCACTCGTCCTAACGAAGCTTATCTGTTGAAATAGATCGATGGGGTATTACACGATTGACTTATTAATTTCAAGTATCTTAAGTCCTACATCCCTTCACTCAGGGATGCGGGGTGTCAACAAGCTTAATTTTACTAAGTTGTTTCGTGGCGCGGCATGCCGAGTGAGGTCATGCCATGCCATGGCGTCTCGTACCAAGTAATCATTGGTCTAGGACATATTGATCGGGGATGTGTTGTGGTAGAAAAGCAATAGGAGTAAAGGGCTAGTTTTAAAATAAGAATAAAACAAAATCTCATGTGAGTAGAAAAGTTCTAAGTCTGGCCATGAAACCGAGTTGGAGGCAAAGAAGGACATGAAGTGGCGATAAAGCTTATGCAGCCGCATAATTGGCTGATCATCTTGAGTTGAAATTAAAGTCAGTATTTTGGTTAAGTATCTGGCCACAAGGCTAGGTGTGGGGAGGAAACTCGATTTCACTTTAATTGAGCAATTAACTAACAGGATGGAGGAAGAAGGCAAAATGGTAAGTGGCCTTGGTTAGCATGATGTCTCCCTTTGAGTTGGTTTAGTAGCCGAGCTAGGAAGGGAGGAGTGGCTTGCTCCTTGCCGCAGATGTGGGATGGGTGGAAGGCAACAGCGAAGAGCCATTGAAAGGCCACGATCACATGGGATGAGATGTCATTTGTTCCTGAGCAAAGTGATCGAATTACAGGCCAAAACGTCATTGAAATTGGGAAGATGAATGGAGTTAAGTAGGTTTGCCTCCTAGTTTACTTTGAAGATCTAATAGGCGTGTAATGGAGAGGCAGGTCATGTCGGCTTGATCATTAAGAGCCAAAATTTGGCTAAGGCATGAGACAAGCTTTGACGTCTAGTTCCATCTAGCAATTTTGGCTTGCCGTGAAAAAACAAAACAATTTTTTTTTTTGGCTAAGACATGGAACAA